ATGAAAAACCGCGTTTCCTTTAGCATTTAAAGAAACCGGAAGTGCGCTCGATATATATTGGAAGTTACCCTATCAGCGCATGCGCAATTTACACTACCACCGCACTTCAGTAAGATCAAACAAAGCCACACGGAGTTACTTTTTCTCTTTCTATTGCTTGTTTCTCTGTCTTTTTCTTATTTTGCCTCTGCTTGTACTTTTTTTACTTTGCATTTTGTGAAACACAAAGAAAATCATGTAAAATGTAAGCGAATTTGGAAGTTATTGAGTTGTTTTTATTTTCCGCGCTCAGGCTGACGTAAGTAACCGGAAGTGAAATTTCACCTCCTTAGCAACGCGCGCGAGCGCGTGCATAAATCGGTTAATGGGCCCTTAACAGGTTTAAACAGTCGTCTGTTTTATGCTTTCTTATTTCAGGTGATCATTCCTGGTTCTTGGATCTTCGCATTGATGGTCCACATGCCAAAGTTCATAGCCTTAAACGTAAAGGACAATGCCTGTGTACAGATGGATGAAGAATGGCTGCAAAAAGCTTTTTTTTTGCTTAGGTCAGCCATTAAAATTGCGGCCATGGTACTGATGGCTTGGTTGTATTCCAGAATCGTGTACACACTGTGGTTCAAACGTGATTCTGAGAATCAAATCGCCTTCCAACAGAGGGTAAGTATTGACAAACAAGTTGAACTCAAGAACATTTTTCTTTCGCTTTCCTGACGATAACTACTGAAGTATTCAAATGAACGTTCATGATTGAAACTTCTATATAGCTACGTTTATTCGATCATATTCTGGTGCCCAAACGTTTTGTTTTAGCAATATTGGTACTTTCCACCATGCAGTTACCAATGCAAACAGTCACAAGCCAAATATTATTCTTCCAGTGTTTTAAAATGTCAACCACGACTTGGAACAAGAAAAATTAATGGCGGCCGTAAATTGTCGGAAATAAAGGTCCAAAAAACATGAGTTCTAACGTTGGTAATCGATTGAAATTTGCCAAGATATCTAGGAAAGACAATTGTGTACGAAAATTAAAAAAAAAATGGATACCGCGAATACCATCATAGAAACATTTTAAGAGAAACTGATATTTTCACCTTGCCAAAAATATGAGCTACTGAAGACTTTAATTCCGTTAGTTCAGTTGCCAGGCTCCTAGTCCAGGGCCGCACTTCCAAATGAATAGGGACCTGAAGATCCGACGACTGCGAATGTCTACGACGGCGAGCGGAAGGTGAAAATATTTGCTTGCACATTTCCGGTAGCCGTCGCGCGAGGTTTCCCGCCGTAGCTGTGTTGTCTGCGACGTTGGAACGAAGTGTTTGCCGTTTTGTCTAAAACGTGAGTAAATTTCTCTCATTCTAGTTTAAGGCCATTTCAAACGAATGTATCGAGCATTTTCAATATATAATGAAGTGACAACATTTGTCCTAGCTTGTGACAAATGTAAATTGGTTGTAGAACTCATTTAAAGGCGAAAATTGACTGAAGTTTCTTTCTCCGTCTCAAAAGCTTCCAAAGTTCGTGTCTGCAAATAACCTTCAGTGGAAACTAGTTCAAATAAAACAGTCCAGTAAGTTGTTCTCAATTCATTTTTCCTACTTAGTGAATGCTAAACCAGAAATTTAATTAAGTAATTTACCCAAGTTTGTTTGAGGAAAAGTTTGTTGAACTAGATATCATGATTTTTCAGATCAAACATGGAGTGGACGGAGGAACATGACAACTGCTTGTGTCAAGAAATTTTAGTACTTGAAGTACAAAAAAGGAAGCATTTCTAGAGGCCAAATCTGGGAAAAATTGCAAATGAATCTGAACGGCCATAAGCTTCCCCGATTCAAAGTCAGTAAGTGTGCTGTTAGAGAGGGGTACACACTGCCGAGCGAGAAATTTAAAGCAAAGATGAAAGACGAAGAGAATTAAGGCAAATGAAATCGAATGTCATTTGAGTGAGGTGGAAAAGGCTCTGGAAGAAATAGTCGAAAAAGAAGCTGCAGCCGAAGACACAGTGGAAAACGACAAAAAGAAAGTTTACAACCCAAAAGCAGTGGAAATGAGAAACAGAGCTCTAGAAAGCTGGGCAGAACACAGAAAAGGCAGTGGAATGAGGCGGAGGAGAATGTGAAACCAAAGCAAAAAAGTCGTGGAAGTGGAGGTGACACAATTGCATATTTGCGCGAAAAAAAAAACGATCTTGTTCGGAAGTGGAAAGAGGAAGAATTGCGGCTGCAAAAGCAACGAGTTGAAGTTGAGGGTAAACGGGAAGATCAGTCAAGAAAACAACTTCAGGATAGGATGAAAATCTTGCTAGAACAAACTAAGCAGCAACAAGAGCAGATGCAAAGTTTTCAGCTGATGTTTACTTCAATCCAACAACTGCAGTCTCAAATAATTATGAAGCTTCTAGAAGAAAAAATAACTAGGCTTGATTTGTATGGTACTGGTCATAACATCTTTGATTTTGTTGTAAATACTTGCTTTAGCATTTAAATGGTTTATATTTATATTTGACATTGTTGTTTGTTTTTAAAAACAAACTGTTCGACACATCTTGCAGATGTTTTGATCACTTTATTAGTAACTCACTCTGCTTAATTACACTTCAACTTTGAGGTGATCAAGTTGTCAAAATTTTGTTTGTAAAAGTAAATAAAAACAAAAATTTTGAAAAGGTTTATGTTTTACAGATGAATGAATGTAAATGTTCAAGAAAAATAATGTTCAATGGCTGGAGGGTCCAAGACAAAGTACTCTGATGTAGAGTTGGTGTACATACAGGCTAAGGCATTACGTAGAATGGCGCCCACAATGTACATTTTCCAACTACACTAAGAGAGAGTAATAAATTTTTCTAAAAATCGAGAAATTTATAATAATTTACGATATCCCCGAAAAGACATACGAACGGCACTCGTGGCTTTGTTGTACAACTCCATTTGTGGTGTTATTCCGGCACCTCCGTAAGGGACTTGGAGGGGGACACGTAGGGGATAGGCGGGGTCACCATACAGGGCCATTGGTTCTCTTGTTATGGAGAAAGCATGCTGCTCCAGATCGCGAAGTGACCAGAATCAGCCAGCATACCTGAATCATGCCTTCTACCCTCTTAAGAGATCAGATAAATCAGTATTTTAGTTTGGTGAAGTCTGGGTGTAATGCTTCCAAATCTCCCCCTCCCAAAAAAGAAAAAAACAACAACAAATTAAATTAAAACAATTACCTACTGGACCGTACATGTTGGCTACCATGCCATTAGGCAAGACAACAGACTGGTACTTGAGACCATGTACTCGCTTATGTCCATTATAAACGACCCTCTGGTTTTGTTCAGGTCGACAAATTGGTCTTACTGTTCCGTCTATAAAACCAAAGCAATTGGGTAATGGACTTCCTTTTGAGTCAGTCGCACGGACATAGCTTTCAGGAAGTGGTGGGTTTAGAAGCGTATTATCCCACTGAGTTAGTCTGTGATTGTGCTCTTGATAAATTGTATCCATCACGAGATTGGATATCATACTCAGCTTCGGAACTGGGCGACCAAATCGTGGAATTAAATCGCTGTATCTGCATGGGTAAGCAAATCGTCTCAGTGTTATACAAAGCGCTTCTACTCCATCGTGGTTCCTTGGTGGCACGTGAAAGACTCAGGGAGCTGCAAGGCCTCTAAAAGGACGGGAACATTCTTATGAAAATGAAACTCTGCCAAATACTCGCTGTAGTCCATCTCATTTAAGTCGAACGATCCATAGCAGTCATAAGGGAAATCTGAGTTTTTCGAGGTGTTTGCATCGTAAAGGAGAAGAAATTAGTCCTCGGAAATATCATCGTCAGCAAAACTTTCGACGAGAAGGTTACGTATATCTCTAAAGGATGCCATACTTTCACTGAAATACCGAAGCTTGTCATGAAGCCGTCCGCGTCCCCCACTAGAATTCTTAAGGTCAGTTTTTGCGCCATACGACAGCGACCTCTCTCCATTCCCCCCAGCTCACGGCTGCCGTCGTAGACACTCGCCATCGTCGGATCTTTTAAGGTCTCTAACATCGCGCTGTTACAAATTTAAACACCATTCTCAAATTAATTTAAATAAATTTGTTGCCTCTGTTCTAATTCTTCTTTGAAATGCTCCTCTATATAAATTGGAGAGTAAATGAAGTTTGCATGATTGTCTGTCTGTCTGTATGCATGTATGTATCTTTGTATGCACATAACATTCTCATTGTGACACCGTTAGGGATACATATCCTCTTTGCAAGAATTTTTTGGACAATTCATTTGTTACTATCTAAGTCGGATTTATGTCTCTCTCTACACACAGGGCGTCCTGAGAGTGCGGAAGCGAGTCACTTTGATGGGGGTAACTGTCACTGCCATATTTGGAATCTGTTGGGCGCCTGACGTAATTGCGCACAGCTTAGACTACTTCACATCTGTCAGTGTCAGTGAACTCGCATTTGCTATCATTCATATGCTAGTACTGTTCAGTTCTGCTGCCAACCCATTTGTGTACGCTCTGGTTAACAAAACCTTCCGAGAAAAGCTTCAGAGAATGATATGCTGTAGCTGTACCAGCTCTAAGGGATCCACACGAAATCGAGTTTGCCAATAAAACGTAACCTCCACATCAGGGACATCGTCTTTGGAGCGATCACAAAATCTAAAGCATTTCTTGTTTTAATACTGCGTTTTTCATAGTTAAAGGAAAATGTGACGGAATTGTACAGATTGGAGAGAAAAAGTTAAGATAAGTGTTAGCACTTTCAACTATCCTGCGAGACAAGGATTCTCTTCTCTTTCTCTGAGCAGTGATAGAAGGGAATCTCTCACAGGGTATGCAACTTTACAGGTGTATAAACTTACATAGAACTGAGAGGAAGGTTATCGTTATGCTATAATATAGCGCTTGGGGCGCTATTCACTTTTGCTAGTTTAAGGGAGCTCCTTAATTGAAGAGGGGGCGCTTACAATGGATGGACGTTTATTTGTTTTTGATTCATTACATATCCCAAGGTGGAACAATACTTTAATGAAAAGAGATACTTCAACTCAAGAACTTTGATTAAGTTCAGTAAGTCAATATTACGTTTAGAATTCATTCTTAGTTCATTCGTCTAATCAGTCTATTCAATGTTAATGTCTTGAATGTCACTTTCGCTATTGGGAGCTCTGAAGAAAGGGGACACTTATTGAATTTGCAGTAGGGGGTGTGCTTATTAGACAGGTGATGCTTACAACATATACCATCTGCGGGTGTATTACAAACTCAAAACATGACCAGCGCCCAGTTGGCTTGTACCAGCTGCTTAAGTTGTGTATGTAAGGGCGGCATGATCAATTAGGTCTTTGTACTAATTGGCTTTTGTTATTCGTTTACGAGCACGTGCATATTCCTTCGTTATTTGGGTAGGCAGCACTCCTATCATTTTTGATTTTAATTTATAATATTGTAATAAATTATTTGTAGGTCTAGGGTGAAAAAAAAGTGGTTGTTTTGTTTGCTTTTGTTGTTGCATCTGTTCGCTTCCATTTGCGCGAAAAATTGGTCGGAAATTTTTCCGCGGACATTAATTGTTCCGAGAAGCGAAGAGTTCTCCGAGAGCGAAGTTCGAGGAATACTGTGAGCTCCGAGAAATAGATAATGTCCAAGGACAAATATCAGGGCATTTTTTAAAGTCAAATATGGACTATTGTGTTTATTATCCTTGTTATCCTTTCCAAATAATTTTTCTCAACACGGGGGATCTGAAAATTGGGGAACATTACATGAATATTCCCCAGCTTTTAGCTGGACATATTCAGTCACGTGACGCGTTTACATTAACGCGTGAGAGCGAAAATATTTGATGAATTATAAAGCTAGGCAATATATTTGATTGGTTGTCAGTTTCCCATGCTGAGCTGAGTAACAGCTCGCAGTGTCGTTATTGGCAATTGAATAACCGTTTACCAAAACCTGTCTTTACAATACGCCTGCAATTCAATTAGAATGCAGAAATTTCAGCGTCAAAACGTCTCTGATGATAAAGAAAATTGATGTAACTCTCATATGAAAATACAGACAGCTTTCAATTTTGCTACCATTTTTTATGATAACTATTTAAATAAGGTTCATCCGGTTTGAAGAACGTTTTGGAAAAACTCGGTATTCATGCAGGATTAGTGTAGAAGGTAGGCCTAACCGTGGAAATAAAGCTACATTTTTAATTTTCTGCGGCGTAGCGTGAACGGGGCCTAACATAACGAGCACCTGGTGGTAATCACGTGGTCCAAGTTGTATAATTTTCTTGATGATGATTAGTGAACTGCTGTCCTTCATAATCCTTTTCTTGCGATGTCATCAGTGATACCAGTTTTTAAGATTGGCTACAACATTACCGTTCAACTTCTCCGATTCTCCGCCGGTAAAGCGTTTCAGGTATGATTGTCATTTGCGTTTTTGTTTTCAAAATGCCAGATATTTTATAAGTAGGTTTTCAAATATCAAAAAAAAAAATTGCTTAACGTTGGTGGATATTATCTGCATATTGTATGAAGCCATTTTTCTTAACGGTGTGAAAGCAATGAAGTGAAAGAATTGTTAAAACAGGATTTTCGAGCAAATAATAATCGTATAAAATGACGAAACACCCTGTAAGAACAAGGTCGCTGAAAGCTGTACTTCGACAACTCGATAGAAACACGGAGCAACCCAAGCTGTTGACATTATGGTGTAGCGGACAAAGAGAGTTTGAATTTTATTAATCATCCAAATAAATGAGTAGTTTTCTTTTTCTTTTTTTTTTTTGTTTTTTCTCTCCAGTGTTTCCTAAAATTAATAGAAACCATTTTCTTCGCGTTCCTATCGAGTTGTAAAAACACAAGAGAAAGTCTGTAGCAGGAATTTCAGTAGTAGATTTTTCTGTGAGCAGAAGTTAAGGTTTGCATAAGAAATGTTGCGGCAACACGAGCAGCAGGCAATACATATTTATCTCCGTCATTAAACCTGGACGCGCTGGATACCGCTCAAATGTTCACAAAATGTCGCGAAGGGTTTAACCGGCAGACCGAAAAGATGAACTTTTGCTACTGAGGAGATCTATTTTTTTTAGTACTCCAGTTTTTTCTTTTCTTTTTATGGTGGTATTTTATATCTAAAATAGAGTTAGTGGTTCCTGTAGATTCAAACTTTTTAATCTACACAAGTTCAAACTCAGTTCGTGAAAAGAAAATGATTTTAAAAAAGGCTACATCGTAAACAACAGTGCTACATAGGAGCTTTATACTGCAATTCATATTCACGCCATTCTGTTATAACTATCCTCCTGATTCGCGCAGTATGCAGAATGGCGTCGAATGGTAAACGACCAACTAAAACATACTTTTAATAAAGATAAACAGTTCATATAAAAATATCCCAGTACGAGAAAACAATGATCAAAGTCAGGTGTCAATCAGGTTTTAAATAGCAATTCTTCTTTTAAATTCACATTATTAAACTGTCTGCGTCATATCTTCTGTCTATTGTTTTAAAACTGTCTTATGTCTGATCAGCATCATCATATTTTAGAACATCTTTGAATAAAGCATAATTTCTAGCAATAATTATTATTATTATGTATGACTTAAAGAAGAGTTTATATATTAAGAGCAAGATTTTAAGCAGGGCTAAATAAATTCCAAGAACATCTACCCAGTCTTTTTTTTTAAGCAGCGCCTGTTTTAATTTGCTACCTGGAGTTTGTCTATTTTTTTTTTTTTTTTTTTTTTTTTTTTT